GAATGCTGTCTGTCGGTATAACTCCTTGTTGGCCCAGAAAAAGCCGTTCTAAAATAGTTGTGAACTCTTTTTAATAAACAGCGCTGGTTGAAGAAGAAATCTGTGTACGGAGCAAAAAATTATGGTTGGCAGAGATAAAAAATACCGACTAGAAGGAATGAATGATGAGAGTTGGGCGCGAAAGCTTTGCTTTCGCGCTTGTAAAATATAACGTAATATGCATTTGCTTGTAAAATATAACGTAAAAGGAAAACAAAATCAGCTCCTGGCATTAACTCAATTGATTTTTTTTCCAATAGCACTGTTTAGCACGATCACATATTTTGATCGTGCAAATGTTGCACGATCAAGTAGTGGAGATATTACAAGTAGAGCCATCATTCTATGCGTGTATAATCCGCGCTGTCGGATTATTGACAAAATTCTATCACAAGTCAAGGTGTTGCTACTTTCTAGTAAATCAATAGTTTCCTATCGCTTCAGCAGACACTCTAAACTTGTGGGGAACTTCACTTACGACATCTCCGAGCAGGCGTACAGTTACGTTACGTATCTTCCCGCGCAAATGTTTTGATAATACCACCTCTAGAGTCACGTCATCAAGTCAGCACTTACGCCACTCGTAAGTCGATTTTGCGTACTTACGAAGTTTTGATAATACGGCCCCAGGACGAATTCGCCTGGCATAAAAAGGATTGAGACCATCGCCGATAGACAACTCTTCGAAAAGACGAAAGCTCTAGGGTGTGAGGAATTGACCCTAAGGCGCGAGCAGGCAACATTGGAGGACTTGAAGAGAAGATTTGAGGTTGAACGCGCCGAAATTGAGAACGAGGTGTTAGAGACTGAACTCGATAAAATATATAGCTGTTCCTTATTTGGTCGCTGTTCATCAGTACATTCATAACTGAAGTTGCTGGATCTAATCGTGGCGTAGCGGCACGAATTCCGAAAGTCTCTTTTCGCGCTGCACTAAGTCACTTGCTTCTTCTGGTTCTAATGAGGCAGAACGAGATCTCGAGCAATTTGATTATTACCAGCGACAAAACTTGTTGCCCAGGTGTGATTTGGAAGTCTTTGGCGGTTCTGACGTGACAAGGTTCAACGAGTTTCTGCGATAGTTCGATAAAATAATCGAAACGAGATTTTCGATCTTTTGTACAGACTGGTTTAGTTAGAACAGTTTACAACGGGCGAAGTTCAGAAGCTGGTTAAAAGTTGCATTAATAATGCAACTTTTACACGCAGGGTGCAGTCCCGAAGTTGCTTACCCGCTGCAGGTCAGAACCTTGCTACGAGAAGAATTTGGAAATGAATTCATGATCGCACATGCCTACTTGAAACGTCCTAATAATTGGCCTAAGAAAAAAGGCGAGGACGTCGGAGCATTATAATTGATCTTCCCATATCATGGAGCGATCTTATAATAATGATTATAATTCTTATAAGATCTCTTATAATAAAATCATCTTCCCATATCAAATTACGTCGATGGGGCGGGTAAGACTACTAATTTTTTTTCTGCCCAATCATTGTCGTAAAAATTAGGATCGGCAATGAGGAATTCGTCACCGTGAACGATGCTCTTGACTGTCACTCGTCAGATAGCTGGATAGGAGAAGATATTATAGAACAGTTTGGGTGCCTGTACTCGTCCCACCAAAGTCCTATTGAGCACCATGGTAAACGCAAAAGAAGGAACTAGAGACTGAAATTTTGATGAATTTGGCGATTTCCCCTATAGATAGTAGCAAATTAAGGTCAATTCAAATTTTATTTACGAAGCCTTCATCAACTAGCTTTCTTTCTAAACACGATATTCCTAATTAGGGAGATGTCGAGAATCTGCCGATTTGCAAGATGTACCATTCGCTTTCGTGAACGTCGACGTTAGCGTTCTAGTAGGCATGAACTCGCCTGGCCTTGTTAAGACGTTGTCAACGGTGGATGGTAAGTGGGGACAACAATTTGCATCTCTTCACTGTCTTGGTTGGGCGTTCAATGGCCCAGTCAGCACATGTACGCGGGTAATGTAAGCGTAAATTTTTGGGTGCAATCGTTCTTACGGTGCGTGTATGTCGTGCACAACTCAGTTATATCTCATTTTAATCCACGTATTTGTTTTTAGTTCTATGCTGGCTCTCAAATTACCTAACTGAAGAAAACATTTGGTACGTGTTTTAATTAGAAATTATGTTCTGAATATTTGCAAGCGTGTTTAGATATAGTGTGATCGTGCTCGAATTAAAGCATTTTACTCGTCTACTCATGTGCAATATCATTTTTATATGCAATTAATAAACTATTGCTTGGTTTCACACAAACCGAATTTGATAAGAAGTTCAAGAAAAGTTGTGTATTCAAATTCCTCGAACCGAACAAACCTTACAATGATATTATGTCTATAAGAGTATTAGTTACAAGATGATAGGCTGTTTTGTGTCGACATATCGAGCTTCGTTTGCAGTCGTAGGAGGCGACGTGTTCAGGTGATAGCCAGTATCAGTGCTAAGAATATGACTGACGTGTGAGGTTATGGTGCAGTCAGCTGGTGCAAGCATCGTACCGAAAGCCCAATGCATTAGTTCGAGGCGATAATTTGCTCAAAAATGTGAGTAGAATTACTTCTGAATCTGAATACTTTGTCAATGGTCTTCAGCTTCAAAACGATTGTTAGTTCGATACGTAACTTCCATTATTGCAAAGTTTTTGATAATAATTGAGAAGATGAAAATTTTGATAAACAAACGCAGTTTTACGCTTTACTTGAATAAAATATTCTTTTGTTGAATTATTCGATCTCACATTTCTATAAGATCAACGCGTTAGAAGATTATCATGAGCAAGATCATTCAATGCTTCAAGACCAAACTGAACAACAAATAAATAATCGGTTCACTTTTTAGCCAATACGCCTTAATAGTGTCACCATCAATCTTCATTGTAAAATTGTTTTCCTCGTATTTTTATTTCCATTTGGCGCTTTTTCCACGAAAAATGTAATTAAAATCGGCTGTTTCTCGATACCTGGAAAATCAGGTTGCAAGAGACCCTTCAGTTCCTTTCAAAAATGGTGCCTTTAAGTTTTACGCTGGTTAAGATAGAGTTAGTATCCAGTTACATGTATTGGTGCAATGTTGCATGTACTATTACAATATAAAATGTATTGTTTTTTCACTCAAAGCAACAATTGTGCTCACAATGCTGGTTTACGCAACAATGGTTCGGCAACCATTCATTTGTGTGAATATCGGACTTATTAATTCGTGCCTATTATACACTGTGCGCTGCGAATTTCATTTTTTTCATCTTTTTGTTCGAAATGAAATCATTTGTTTCAATGACAAATGAAAAAAGTAACACTCATGAAATTAAAGGGACCGGCTACCCTCCGGAAAAACTTCTAGTTATTATCCGATCATCATGAAACTTCACATACATACGTAAAATGTAAAAAATAACATTTTTCTTCCATAAATTTTGCGAAAAAATTGATAGAAAATGTGAAATTCATAGAAAACGGCTAAAAACGGGTACTTAAGAAAATCTATCTCCTTCTACAAAGATCATCCTTCAACATCGAGGCATGTATCATTCGATTCGTAAAGACCATACCTATCGATTCAAACATGTTTTTTTTTCATTTTCCCCATAGTTTTTTTATGCGCGTTTTTCCCATTTTTCTCATTTTTCCCCCTCTTCCCCCCCTTCTCCCCCATATAAAAAACGAACCAGACGAAAATTCAAAAAAGTGATGTTCAAATCGATTGGTATGGTCTTTACGAATCGAATGGTATATGTCTCATTGCTGTAGCTTGAAAACTGTAGGAGGATATAGGTTTGCCGTGAGAGCAATAGGAGGTTTTCACCACGCCCAAAAAACTGGCGCGCGGCACGTAAAACGACGTAAAAGAGTCGTAACGTAGCCTAGATACCGTAACTAAGCCTCAAACCAAGTCAGGAAGGCATAGAACAACTGGCTGCACACCTTTCACCTCGCTGTCATGATGGGCACTAACTGCTTTGGCGACAGCAGGCTGTATTTATAGTCCCGCCTTCGAATTACTCCCATAGGGATTACTGAAGGCCGCCCAGTACCGCCCCCTGTTCCACGGTGCGTTGTGTATGTAAAAATGCACGTAGAAAGATGATTATGGTACCGTTACACGCGTCAGAAAGTAAGCTTTAAGATAAGTATAAGCACCAGATAATGCCATAATTGGCCGCTTTACGTCAGACGTTCCTTTTTAGTGTGTCCAGCCTTCGAATTAATCCCATAGACTTTACTGAAGTGGCCTCAAAACAAAAGCTCTCCTTTGGGGAGCTGTCACGAAATCATTTTTCGACGTAGAGAGATTATTCTGGTACCGTTCGATGCGTCAGAAAGTAAGCTTTAAGATGAGCACAAAAACCGGAAAACGCCGAAATTGAAAATTTTAGGGTAGCCGGTCCCCTTAAACGGGAAACGCCGGTACGTGTTGGGCTCTGGGGATGTTACAGTTGATTCCAATTAATTGTTGTTCATAATGTCGCTATTTTGCACCCGAATCTCAACCTTGTCTTTTGTATCCTCTCTGACTGCAGGTCTCAGTTGTGGGGTTGTCATTATGTAGGGAGGATTCCTTACATTAAGTAATTATTTAGGGAGAATTCCTTACATTTCCCTTCTCTGCCTCTCTAGTGCGGGCGGCCGACGTCCCGTGTTAGCGAACTCTTGTACGAGTGTCTACGTTTCTGTTGCTTTTCACCTGCCCCTCCTTACTTGTCACTTCGTCTCTTTGAGATGCTAACGCTGCTTCTTTCGCGCCAGCTACAGCGGGCTGAACACTTGAAACCTTCCGCCCTGTCTAGATGATGAAGGATTTTATGATTTAAGAAACTTTCGATCTCTGATACCGTCCACCTATTTTGTGATGTTCATCTTGACATTCGGAGGTGTAAGCTAAATAGCTAAAGCGCTAGTTGACATTTGGCCACTAAACTAATTACCTTGCAGGAAGATGTCAGGCGCGGTCAGCATCGGGCTGGACCTGGGCGCAGGCAAGTGCTGTGTTGCCAGCGTGCGCGCTGGAGCGGTGACGGTGTTGCCAAACGCTCACGGCGATAAGACCACTCCGAGTTTTGTTGCCTTCACCGACTCCCGCAGCCTCGTGGGCAGCGATGTTAGGGACCAGGCGGCGCTCAGCCCAGAGAACACTTTTTATGGCGTCAAGACCGTCATCGGCAGGAGCTGCAAGAAGATCCAGAAAAATGAATTGGCATACATAACTGGAAATGAGGTTCGGACTGGCGAAATATTTATGATGAATCTCCTTCCCGAATTTTTAATAACCGAGAAAGGCTCAGCCGCCTTCAAAATCGAGTACAGGAATAAGGAGTTGATGTTACATGCGGAAGAAATAACTGCCTTACTTATCGCCAAGATGAAATCTGTGGCAGAAGACGATATAGGAAGTCCGGTCACAAACGCCGTCATTACCGTCCCCGTAAATTTCAGCAACGCGCAGCGACAAGCCACTCTCGATGCGGCCCGCATCGCCGGCCTTAAGAATGTCACGCTGATCAACTCGACCACCGCCGCTGCAATCGCTTACTGGGACCAGCACCCCAGGGAAAAAGATTGCGTTGCTGTCGTCGATTTCGGTGCTAGTTCACTCAGCTTTGCCATACTTTCCATTGATAACGGGACTGTTAAAGTTCTAGAAGCTTATGGAGGATTAGCGGTAAGTGGAAACCGTATCGACTTCTGCATGATGCGAGCCATTGTCACAAAATTTCAAGAAAAACACGGAAAAAGTTTCGAAGAGTCCCCTGGAGCCTTGGTGAGGTTGAGAACCGCCATGGAGAAGTTGAAGTTCAATCTGACGCTTCTTACCTCTTACGTATTGCAAGTGGACTCATTATCTCACGGCATCGACTTCACAACTACGTTTTCCCGGCAAGAAATGGAAGAGTCTTGCCAGAGCCAGTTTGAAATCCTCGGAAATGCGTTGCGTCGATGGGCAAAATTAAAAAATTGGGTGAAAGTTCGAACAATTGTGTTGGTGGGAGGCTCAACGCGTATTCCTACTGTAGAAAGTCTCATTGCCAAAACATTAAGAAAACCTCTGGATCACTCGCTCAATAAAGACGAGGCTGTTGCCTGTGGCGCTGCCCTCCGAGCTGCCGAGTTGTGCTGCTCAACGCCACGCGAGGTGCAGGAGGTGTTGTCCAGACGTGTCTGGTTCGAGGCGGATGCGGAGTCAGGGAAAATTGTTGAAACTGGAGCAAGTATTCCGGGCGAATTCAATTTCCAAACTTCAAATGACATCTGGAAACACATATATGATAAAGGGATGAGCCTTTATGAAAATATATCAGAGATTGATGACAAAAGAGTTGAAACCTTTGTACTGACGACAATAGGAGCAGGACAGCTCGGCCGTTCTCCTCCATCTGGCGGACTTTTATTTACGATCGATGAAAGTGGAATTGTTAAAATTGAAGTAATTTCTAGCGGGAAAACAAGCCATTTACCTATTAGGGGGCTATTATCGGACAAAAAGCGCGCAAAAACTTGTTTGACTCATCATGAAGCGTTCCTGGATGATGAAGCAAAATTTAAAGAAAATGAAAATGCCATCAATGATCTTGAAACTTTCTGCGTCGACCAAAAGGAAAAGCTCAGAGAGAAGTTCGGACATGATTCTGCTGCTTTCAAGTTGTGTGCAGAAATTTTGATCTGGCTTGAAGATACTCCAGAAGCAACGAAGCAGCAATGCAGTGAGAAGAAAAAAGATTTGGAGCACAAAATCGATATTGAAGTTGACAGCAAGGCGCTGCCTCATCAACCCACAAAGATCAAATCAGATCACCTTGATGATGATGCGAATCGCCTTGTTAACACACCACATCGCCGTGGTGATGCTTTACATAACCAAGGTCATGTTTCTGATGCTGCACACCGTCTTGTTCAAGCTGAACAGCACCCTAGCAACGTTGCACATTACCCTGTTGATGCTACACACCACTCTGGTCATTTTGAATATCACCCCAGTATTGTTGCAAATCACCCCAGTAATGCTGCACATCACCCTAGTAATGCTGCACTTCACCCCAGTAATGCTGCACATCACCCCAGTAATGCTGCACATCACCCCAGTAATGCTGCACATCACCCCAGTAATGCTGCACATCA